TCAGTTTTGTTTCTTGAGCTGTAAAAATAATAATTAAAAAAAACTAAATAATGAAGTTATAACAGTGTATGTCTTTACCGCCTCCAGGCCTCCAGGTGGCAGTAGAGTCACTATTGGTCAGACTTACTCACCCGGAAGTGCTGTCAGTGTTTGCGCATGTGTTTACACTGAGGTTAGCTGTCTCAACTACAGTCAGAACAACCCTGGAGTGTCTTAGTTTCTATTGAACAACATGTCTTCGAAAAGCAACGAAATTGAGGATAATGTGGAAGAAGTGTCTGCAATCAAGGAGGAACTGAACAAAAAGGTAGCGTTAGCTCTGGTGGCTAATGTAAGCTAATGTAGCTAATGCTAGCTAACGTCAGCCAATAGCCTCAGATAGACATGATGTAAACCTGACTAGAACTTTCTTAAATACTCGCAACAGATTGTCGTGACTCTTTTGTTAGCTGTGTGCCTCGTGGCAAACTTTAAATTGCGTGCTTCCCGTGAAATAACTTGTTTTTCTAATTTACAGATCAAGGAGCAGAAGGTTCTTTTGGACGAGCTCTCCAACCTGAAGAAGAACAGAGTGAGTCTGATGGAAACCTTCTCCAGTCATTAATTAAACCCTTAAAATCATTTCAGTGTATCGAGGTTACTATTTACAAGCATTATTCCTTAAAAAATAATCCCCTCCTGCATTAAACTGGCATACATGTAACTCTTGGTTTCTTAGGTTTGTTCCACATGAAAGCAGAAGATTTGTATTTGGCAGTTACCTTTATTGAAGAGACAGGAAATGTGGGGGAGAAGAACTTGCAGCAAATCTTGCCATGGGTCAGCCCAATCCATGGCCTGAATAGGGACACATAATTGAGCCACTAGGCTGCTACTGAATCTGAGCCTGTTATCAGTGCACTGCAGCTTCAAGACAGAGATACTCAGCCGTGGCGTTGACTGTTTATTTTGCTTATGATGTGTCTCAGAGCATTTAAAACATGCAAGTAAACGTTTTCCTATGTTGGACGATGTGTCTCAATGAAATTGGGAAAGCAATCCGATTTTTTTTCAGGATCATGTGCATTTAATGTTGTATTTATGCACAATTTGTGTTTTTCTTCCCCCAGAAAGTCTATATCCAGCAGAGGAACAGTAACATATTCTTCCTGGCAGACAGAGCTCAGACACTGGGTTCATGTAAAAGTAAGTTGACTCTTGTAAACTTGAGTGATAATTGTAAAAGATAAACTAACTGTTGTGTGTCTCATTAATTAACAGCAAAGACTGGATTGAAATTGTGAATTTATAGCATCATGTCACTGATAAACCTAACGGATACTATTTTTTTTTCTGTAGAAGAACTGGATTATATGAAAAAGGATCTACAGGACATGTAAGAAAGACTCACACTCACAACAATGTGTGGCATCTTTTGTCTGTTGAGTCTGTCGTCGGCTCAGTCTGAGAGGGACAAAACCGTTTATGAGCATTTGAAAAGAAGAGGGCCCAGCTCCAGCCAGGATCTAACAGTTACAGGCACAAATCACTGCTATCAGTGTTTATTCTCTGCTCATGTTCTTCACATGAGAGGTCTTCTTACCCCTCAGCCAGTTCAAGACGATGCTGGAAACATCCTGTTGTGGAATGGTGAGATTTTTGGAGGGTTGCCTGTCATGCCAGAGGAGAATGACACCGCTGTTGTCTCTCAGCAGCTGTCATCCTGCAACAACCCTTCAGAAATTCTGACTGTCCTGTCCACAATACAGGGGCCATGGGGGTTTGTTTACTACCAAAAGGCTGGAGACTACCTCTGGTTTGGAAGAGACTTTTTTGGCAGGCGGAGTTTGCTGTGGAAATTTGATGCAGAGGTCAGTGCCTTGACCCTGACTTCTGTGGCAGCCCACGTTTCTGGACCTGATCGGCCTCACTGGCAAGAAGTCCCAGCAGTTGGTGTGTACAGGATTGACCTGAAGGCAGCTACAGAAGCTGGCTCTGTGTCATTTGAGCTGTATCCTTGGGCTCATGCAGGGAATGACGTCATCTCCTCTTGCAGTGAAAAGCTATTGGAGTCTGTCCCCAGCGGCTGCAATGCTGTGATGAACCAACTAGGCCTCGTACTCACCTCACCTGTGTGCTCTCTGAATATGTCCGTTCCAGAGTCACTAAACAAGACAGAAATTCAGTCAAACTCACATTTAGCTGTCAAGGATCTGGAGGAGCTGCTGGCGAGCAGGGAGAAAACCGATGAGGTGAACTGTCTTATTGATGTTCTCAGTGAGGCAGTAAGGCGTCGAGTTCAGTCTCTGCCTTTTGGTTTACAGGACTGTTCACTTCCTGATAATGACCAGGCGAGTGTTGCTATACTGTTTTCAGGAGGGATTGATTCAATGGTCCTGGCCGCCTTGGCTGACCGTCACGTACCTGCTCATCAACCAATAGACCTTCTCAACGTAGCCTTTAAACTACAGGAGCCAAAAAAGCAGAATGACTCTGCAAAAAAGCACAAAAAGCACAAAAACAAACCCACAGAATCCAAGACTGACTGTGCTGATTCCCGACCCTTCAGCCCCTTTGATGTTCCCGACAGAATTACTGGAAAAAATGGTCTCAAGGAGTTACAAGAGCTGAATCCTGAAAGAAGATGGAACTTTGTTGAAATCAATGTAACACAGGAGGAGCTGCAGAAAATGCGCCTGGAGCGCATTTGTCATTTGGTGCATCCACTGGATACGGTGCTTGATGATAGTATCGGATGTGCTGTGTGGTTTGCTGCAAGAGGGACGGGGTTCATCATGGAGGACGATGACCAGAGGCCCTTCACATCATCAGCAAAGGTGAAGTACAAACATCAGACTTTGCACTTTCCAGGAACAAAAGCTTGTGAGCTCTATACCTTTTAGCCAGTGTAAGAGATCTGATATGACTGTCCTCTGGGCTGTTGATAAGGTCAGAACTTACAGATCAGTGAAAACGCTGCTATTAAGAGATGTTTCTCAGTCCTCAGCAAACACACTGAAGTGCTTTTCTGTTTTGCTACGTCGTGGCTGCAGGTCATTTTGACAGGAATTGGAGCTGATGAGCAGCTCGCAGGTTACTCCAGACACAGAGTCCGATTCAAGACATCCGGACACGAAGGACTGATTCAGGAACTCGCCATGGAGCTGGGCAGGATCTCCTCCAGGAATCTAGGCAGAGATGACAGAGTGATCGGTGACCACGGGAAAGAAGCTCGGTAGGTGTAAAACCTGTTTGAAAGATGGTGTTTCTTACCACACCATCCTGGGTGTATCCTCATTGTCTAACAGATGTGTTGAGTACATTTTATCTTCCAAAAACAGTTGCAAAGCTGATTTTTAAGAAACTTTATATTTGCACATTGTTTACGGTAGTCTTTACTAGCATGCACTTATCTTCTTCATTGTTTTTGTTGGCACAGTCCTTACTGCCACCTACTGTCAGTAAACAAAAAAGCATGATATTAATGATACGATTTGGAAATTGCTGTTAGTGGGCTTTAAAGAACCCATAATATGTTTTATGTATTTTTTCCTTTACTCTGTGTGCTTATAGGCTTTTTTTGTGCATGTAAAACCTACAAAGTCCACGCCAAGGGAATTATTCTCTCCATAGGTTTCTTATTCAACATTTAGTTAAATTGTCATTGCAACAAAAGATTGTACAGACAAATTACAGCCCCTTTGTGCTACTCACCAACAAGACAAATTGTGCAAAGAGTAAATAATCAAGTATAAAAAATAAAACCTAATGTTGATGTAAAGGATGAACTCCCACGTAAATTTTTTTTAGATGTATTATTTCAGCTGCGTTGTTAAACCTTTTTGGGAGCAAGTAAAGAATATAAAAGAATCTTACTGCAAACCTGAAAGCCTTGAACTTCATGACTTCATATAGTACTTCATCAATCTGTTTTAGGATTATGTCAATATACAAAGGCATGCAGAACGGTCAAGAGGTTTGAAATTGTAGCTCTAAAAACTTGCTCTCTTCTGAGATCCTCTCACAACGCTGTCTCTGCTTTAGCTTCACGGGATCTTTTATGAATGTTGATGCTGTTTTCCCAGAGAACTAATTGGTCAGTAGGAAGTGTTTTCGTACGTGTTGATCTGTTATCTTGAACATACCCTGATGCAGGTGTTCAGCACAAGTTACCGTGGTGATCTAAGTGTAGTCCTGACAACCCAGAGTCAAACCTGCAGTTCTCTCAGTAACATTAAATCGTGCTTCCTGGTACAGGCCTCTGGGGTAAGGCTCTGTATCAAATGTTACCTTCTAAGCTTCTAAGCACTATGAGCGGCCAAAGAATCCATGTTTACTTTCAACTTGAAAGAAAGGTCGACAAGAAGATAAACTGTACTCGCTGCAAGTCATTGAGATCTCATTTTTCTCCCCTGTAAGCGGGGTAAGGCTTATTTATTTAAAGGTAATTCACAACCGAGGTCCACCCAAACACAGGAGTGTTCACTTGAACCTGCTCTCAGGTTTCCTTTCTGGATGTGTACACAAGGTGTTAGATTGACGTCTCTCACACTTTCATCATACCTCTGTGGCCTAAATAGCCAGAACGCCTATGTGAACAGTGTTATATCAACACTTTATTAATTTGAACTGGTTTATTGTTTTTTTTTGCCAAAGAAATATTCCTTTACATATTGTGACAACGTGTTGTGCGGAAAGTCCAGTAATAATTCAAAGTTCTGAGGGCTTCAGATGAAATTCCATTCTTCAGTATCTTAAAAGTGTCGTGTGTCTGCAGGTTTCCCTACTTGGATGAGGACGTGGTGAGCTACTTGAATTCTTTGCCTGTGTGGGAGAAGGCAGATCTGTCACTTCCCCGAGGTGTCGGGGAGAAAATCCTCCTCAGGCTGACGGCGAAGCAGCTGGGCCTCGGCCAATCAGCCGTTCTGCCCAAGAGAGCCATGCAGTTTGGCTCCCGCATCGCAAAGATGGAGGACAGCCACGAAAAGGCCTCTGACAAATGCACAAGACTCCTCACTGGGTAGATCAAAGTAAAGATTTTACTAGAAAGCATTCTTTATAAAATTACATACAGGTAAAATGTACATGTAGAGACAAATTTACAAACATTCTCAACATTGGCAGAGGTGTCACATTTGATTTCTTCTGTTCTTGGATCATTTTTTAAAACACTGCATAATAAATCATTTGTTTTGGTGTATTCATGTTTCTTTTACACCATGTAAGACTTGACATCCTGTTTTTCTCTGAAGTAAAGGTCACATTCAATATAGGAAGGCAAGTTTCCGACATCAAAACGGCCAGAAATCTGATGAATGTAAACTGGTTTCCTGAAATACACAAAAAATAAGTTTTAAAAGTCACCATTTTATCTGTAGTTTTATTTTGCCTGCTTGAAAAATATTACAGTGGATGTCTCAAGGAAGCAGCAGATGTTACCTTGGAATGAGCCAAGACACAAAGTTTCCTGGAGCGTCTTTCTCTTCAATAGGAGCGTCCTGTGGGAAAAAAGTTGGGAAATATAAAAAAACAACAACACACAGTTTGCTGTAATTTACACCACATGTGGGACCTCCCATCATTTGATTTACCTTCTTTTCCTCAAGGAAAGTATCCACCAGAGGAAGGCTTTTCTTTGAAACCACATAGAAGCAAGGACACTGAAAAACAAATGGAAATTATAAGCTGGGTGTTGCCTGAAAAATTGAGCAAAGGATATACAGTATAAATACACATGCACTATACTTGTTGAGATAAGAAAAGAAGCAATCTTCTTTGTTAAAGGTGGAAAAAAAACATTCCTGATAACGTCTGTAGCAAGTTTGAAGCCAACAGCCAAACAAACACACCCCTCCCTTCAGAGAGCTCGTCCCTCAAACTCATTGACGTGCATTGCCATAGCAACGGCACTAACGACTGGCTTAATGGACTGAAGGAGGCCCAGCTGTCCTAAAACTGCCTCAACATTTTCCATTAGTGACAGGAAGGAGAAGAGCAGTCACCACACAGTATCTTGACAACCGCCCTACAAGCTGGTGCAACTATCTGCTGCACAAACTAAGGCAGTGGTTCTCGACCCCCAAGATAACATAAGTTTGTATTCATGACCCCCCAGTTTGAAATTTTAATATGGCATGAGTAATAATTTTGCTGTTCATGCATTAATGAGGTAAAAATTGTGTTAATTCCACAGATTAATCTCTTTACATTAACACAGTAATTTTCTTTTAAATGAATGAATGAATTGAATTTATTTCGAACAAATAAAACGGAAAAAATGTAAAAACAACAAAAAAATTCAAACAGCAAAAAAGAATATTAATATTGCATTAATCAAATCGTAATATTAACAAGTTAAAAAAAAGAGTGGGAAAAAGTATACACATTTAATTTTGACAGCCTTAATACAAATTTATTTGATAAATGTAGGATTTATTTATTTATACATACATACATACATACATACAATGATCTGGCGACCCCCTGAAATGATGTTCCGAACCCCAGTTTGAGAACCACTGAACTAAGGGTCTTAAAAATCCACCCTGTCCTCTGGAGACCATGTAGGGACTCCTGGCGCTGTTCTGTGCATGTAGCCTGTGCACAAGCCAACATGTCCCTGTTGCTGGCTGCCTCCAATGTTGTTGTACGGATTGATCAATTCTGTTTGTTTCCCATTTACAGAACTAAAGCTGTGTATGAAAAATAGATTTAGTTTTGTGCACACTGTACAGAGAACAGTGTAAATTGTGATTAAATAAGCTCTTAACTTGACAGAAAGTCTATTACAGTAGAAAAGCTTACTGCACCTTCAATATGGTTTCACAGATCAGTTCCTACGTGGACTTTCTTTTGTGCATGAAAACAACTTTGTAAATTAAAGCTGTGTCAGGTAGTTTTACGAGTTTGAACACTACAGCAGAAAACAACGAGCTATGTAAACATAGTGGCTGAGAAGTTGCACTGTGTTGGAATCTTAGCTTCTCTGTTGGCTGCCCCGGCATCTATTTAATTTCATTCATGTGACCTTCCACACCACCTTGTAACAGCGAGATGGCAGTGAAGAACACAGTGCAGTCTGAGGTGTTCTGCAAGTGTCCCACAAAACACCCAAAGAATTGAAATCAAATAGATTTGCTATGTGTGCTATTTACTTGATTCATGTTCACTCATTTCATTTTAGCTCAGTGTAAAAGTCTTAACTGCTGTTTCAGTGTTTCACTAACTCCTCTGTTGTGTGTCGCCGTCAAACAAACATGCAAACAAGAGACAGCTGTCGTCAGGATGTTGTAACTGGAGTTGATGTCAGCTTCTTACAGGAATCCAATGAATTCTGCAATGCCAGCATAGACTAATGTTTGTAGCTTGATTATTTTCTGTTGGCTCTCGTGTGTACAACCTTTCTGACAGTAAATGAAGCATCAAGGGAGGAGGGGGGATGTTTGGACAACATGTCTGTTTTGTTTGAGGTGCTGCTGCTGCTCTGATGCAACATCCAGCGGTCCTGAACGTCCTAAGGATGTTCCACTGGAAAAACAAAGTGTTAAAATACAAACAGTGGGTTGCTGGTTCAATACTGTCGGATGGATTTTCGGGACAGAGGGTCTGGTTGGCAGCTGTTTCTGCCCTGAATCAATTCTCAGAACTGCAGTGGACAATACAAGCAGGATTTGTTTACTGCTGGTGGTGGACTTACCGCTCGCCTCGACTTTGTCTCTGAAGGGAGAGGCTTCTCCTTCATACAGACAACACGAAGATCACCATCTACTTCCAGTATTCCGTATTTCTGGGTTTCTGTATAGAAACAGACACATAATGCTAACTGAAGCAAAACCATGTTTGTCATTTTTAAGACAGGATTGCCCAACTTGTCAACAGCTTCTCTAACTTAAAGTGCAGTTTCTTCAGTGTGGCTGCTTGTAAAACCTCACCTTCATCTTTGCACTGGTATGAGAGCACCAGACAGCTGTCTTCACACTTTGTTAGCACATCAGAAAACCTCTCTTTTACTTTACTGAGGCTGAAGTCTTCTTTGAAGAGGGTGTCACTGTTTAGGGGAGAGAGAATACGTTGCATGTCAGAAACAGGATGTCATTTAATACTTGGAACACACACTTGATTCTGTAGGTTTGGAAACTTACCCTCCAATAACTGCAACGTGGTCGTCTATCTTGAAGTGCTTCACTGCGAGCTGCAGGCAGGCCACAGCACCCAGACGCTCCTGGTGGAGTGATTAAACAATGAAAACACAATGCACATACACAGTTAAACCTAAATCCATTCTCGAGCATGGCATAGGAAATGCACTTTTAAGGATACTTCAGTAGGGAATACCCTCATACTATTGGTCTTCAGCAGATGATGACGTGACAAGACCGAAACATGTCAAAATTAGGGATGACAGCGAACATTGTGTAAATAACATATTTACGTCATTGCTTGTCGTGTGATCGCTGACAATCCTGACGTTTGTGAAATGTGCTGCCCATTCTTCAAATGCAGCGTGGTAAACAGCGTTGGTCTGTGGAGAGGAGGACAGATGGCAGAACATAAGAACAGAGATGGAGATTCACTGTCAGCAGTCAAGGTTAGATCTGCATATTAGTGATGATTGTTCGGCTAAACTCTTGCTTGATAACAACGTCATACCTCATTTTCTTTTATACATAATGTGTAATTTGTATTATTAATGCATTAGCGTGTACACTAAGCCTTTCTACAATGTCGGGGAGCTCATTTTTGGTGCTTTACACACTGTTGGGTAGTTAGTCAACCTGATAATCAGCATTATTCTGATTATTGGTATCATTTTCTAAAACCTATTCCTGATAAATGTATTTATAAATGTGCTATTTTCATTTGGCAGCCCTCTCTCTCTCTCAGTCTCAAGTGTTACACATCACAAGCAACAGCCTATCAACACTGAAGGATAAATGCTGACAAGTCTCTTCCCATTAAACTGTCATAAAACACACGGACTGTATAGATAAGATGGATGCAGCCGCCGTGACGTCACCCGTTTGCTTGTGGATATTTAGAAGCCTTGACTTTGGAATTGAGGTGCAAGGTGACTCGGTGGTTTGCACCGTCGCCTTGCAGCTGGAAGATCCCTGGTTCACTTCCTGGTTAGGACGCCCAGGATCTTTCTGCGTGGAGTTTGCATATTCTCCTGTGCGGCTTCCTCCCGTAGTCCAAAAAGGAAGTTAATTGGTGATTCTAAATTGAATGTGAGTGTGCATGACTGTCTGTCTCTTGATGTAGCCCTCTGAATCAGCTGGGATAGACTCCAGCCCCCCCATGACACTAGTGAGGATCAAGCAGTGTATCGATAATGGATGGATGGATAGACTTTGGAATTGGCCCACTATCATCTTGCTCTTTTGAAATTGCATTGAGTGAGAAGTAAACCTCACTTGAGGACACCACACATGCTGATATGGTAAACATACCCTGCATTGTTGTCAGTTTTCCTCCACATGTAGTCGTACTTTACAGAAGTGAACATCATGCTGACTTAAAGGAGACTTGAAACCAACCTTTGAGACCGTAAGCTGATAAGGGAAAATATCTATTGAGGTAATGAATCAAGTGAGAAGCAGGGTCATTCTCTCATCAACATTTAAGCAATCAGATTTCTTTTTTTGACTGCCCCCTGTTGGCTGTCATAAATACTGCAGGCTTGTGCTTCAGAAGCTCCATTACATCTCTTACAGTCAATGATAAAACTTACAGATATTTTGTGAAAACTTTTGTGTCTGACTTTGTATTATTCAGAATTTTTTAACAAAAGCTGCTCAAATTTTCACTGCAAATGTGCATCACTTCCAACCATCAGTTAACGGTGTCCTTGATTACTAATAATTAATAATAACAGTATTAGTGATCAGTCGACCCTTGTGTTGTATGTTAAATCACAAGCACTGTCAGATAAATGTGGAGGAGTTTAAAAAAATGTAAATGTAGATTAGTAGTCCTTACAACAACATAAATGCAGTCCACGGAGCCGGAGGCGGTCAGAGCGTGGACCCAGTGGGAGATCAGGGCGCAGCGACCCACCGGCAGCAGCGGCTTAGCGACGCCGGCCAGGTGGGCGAACTTCCCGCTGCTGTCCGCGACGACATCCCTCTGGAGCCGGGTTCCGTACCCGGCGGCGAGAATTACAGCTTTCATTTAAAACTCTAGGCTAGGAAAAAAAAGCGCCGTTCAGCTGTTGGTTGAAAGGTTAGTGACCATGCAAAGGCAAAAGTTGGGAAATAATTCACGGAAGTAGTCCGATTCAAATCTCGCGAAGTTTGCCCACCGGTCAATACTGGAATAGGCTGGCCACGCGAGACTACGTCTGTGTACAAAGGGCTCCAAATTCCAAATTAAAAGTAATCTTGCATAACCAGGCCTATCTCCACAGCTCCATAAACACTGATTAAAAGAAAGTCTTCAGCAACATTTAGTTAGAAGCAATAATGAAGAACATGGCGATCGTATTTTAATTAATTATATGATTATGACCAACTATTTCAATTGATGCTGCTTTGCCAAATCTTCCCATTTTGAAATGCACAAAAAATGATTAAAAAAAAAAAAAAAAGACTTAACAAATGCATAAAAACGTTTAAAATTCCTTATTTTATTTTTAATGATTACTTTGTCTAGCTGTGTTTCCATTTTCTATCATCTTGGCACTGTGACTCTTCAGTCATGTCTTGTTATTACCTCTTGGTGACTGATAATTGTCCTTTACCCTATGACTAAACTGAAAACATTAGTGGTTCTGTAGTGTACAAAAAGTGATTTTGTCATTGTAAAAAAAAGAATTTTAAAACAAAAAATTGTGGAGAATTCAAAGTCATTTCATAGTAGCACTTCTGTCACAGATTTTACAGACTTGAAGGTTGTTATTGCTTTAAATAAATTCTGAAAGCACACCAACTACTAAAGGACAGAAATATTGGTTCAAATTACTAAAATGAAAAGGTTGGGTTTATTCACATTATTTATCCATAACACTGTGTCAATTACGTCATAGCCCTAAAAGATATAATAAAACAACGTACATAATGGTTGTTCACCACTATGGTAAAGCTTGAAATATAGAATTCTGAATACAGAACTCTATAGTAATCCATTTGTGCTTTATAAAAGGGATATTATTGTCTTGTTTCCCATCAAGCAGCCACTGCATCCAAAGCTAGTGTACAACACCTAGAGCTCTCAAAACAGGAATCAGTAGTACAGTTAAATCAATCGTCTTTTCTTCGTTTATCATTTCCCTCTGACACAAGCTTAAAATACACACAGCCACATCCTGAAGCTGCATATGTACTGCTGACCACATCTAAATGTCTTAAAATCAAACACATTTAATCCTGACATTTGTTCAGATTCTCGCTGTAGGCCAGTGATGGTAACGACTCAAAACATAGTCAAACCAGTGTTTGGTTTTATTAGCCAACTCATTAAGACATGAAGGCATACGGAATGCTTTCATATACAAACTTCTCACAATCTGTTTTCTACAAATACAAAAAGAGCAGAGATTGTTTTTTTTAAATGCTGAAAAATCTGTGTGATATTTGCACAGAAGAGTAATGTCCATTCATTTTGAGTGCATCCTTATTCTACATCTTCACTGCCGCTTCCAGCTTCAGGTTCTGTGACGTCAGTTTCAGCGTCTTTCACTGGCTCCTGGTGCTCTGAGGGTTCTTCGGGCTGCGACTCCTCCATCGGTTCCTCAGCTGGTTCTGGCTGAGGTGACGGTGTGTCAGCTGCTTTCTCCAACTCCACCTGAAGAAAAGGAGGAGCTCCAGGTTACTTCCAATTTTAATCCAGTTGTGTTTAGTAAGAAAAATCTCCTTAATTTTCTAAGTAGTTGCTTGTTGATTCTGAAAAACAGTTACTTTTCAAGCTAAAATGTATTTAACCTTTTGACATATATACAAATCTAACTATACAAGCTAGTTTTCACACTGTAATCAGTGAATGGAATAGCTTCATACAAGTCCAAACTATAGTATTCTGCACTAACAAGTTTTAAGAGGTTGAATTGCCACAGGTCATGCATATACAACACTTGCATGCAGAGGGTTTGGTAGCTTCCAAGTAGCATAATTTTACCTGTGAAATACTGTTGACGCTTTCTTCCTGTATCACTGGTTCAGCCTCTTCTTGCTCCATTGGCTCTTCCTCCTCTTTCATAACGACTGGGTCTTGCTGGACTGCTGCGTCTGGCTCTTTCAGCGGCATAGTGGGAGCTTCTTCTGCAACTGCAGAAGGTGGAGAAGCTTCCATCTGTATGATAAAGGATAGGACGCTATTAAAACACCTTGTGAGAAAAAATAAGAATCAATGAACGAATGCCTCATTTTGGTGTCAAAAAATGAACCATTACAAATTTCTGTATGTGAGACGTTAGGTATGAGCTGGTGGAACACAAATGACCCAGCAGTGTTGGAAAGACTGAGTCTAAAACACAATGCAGACTCATGATACTTATTTGTGATTGAAAAAAAAAAATTGTGTGTCAAAGAAAAACACATGCAGCATCTTGTGCAGTTACCTCTTTCTCCACGACAGGCTTTGCAGGCTTTGGCTCTGGTTTTTTATGTGCTTCCAGGACTGCCATGATGGAGGCGGGGATGTGAGCTTGCTGTTACACAGAAAAACAGGCAGGTGTTTCATGAGGAAATTCCAAGAGAAATATAATGTTACAGCAGAAACCAGGAATCAGCTATAACCTGGTGAGGTGTGAAGGAGTGGACATGCTGTAGAAGAGGCTCTCTCATCTCCGGGCAGCGCTCAAACACGCCCGTCAGTTGTGCAGGTGGCAGCTGCAGGAGCACGCTGTACGACTGAGGCTTCGTTCTCTGGCAGCACTTCACGAATCCCTCCCACACCTTGGGATACTTCCACACCTGCATGACAAAATAACAACCACTGTTGAGTAAATAAAATGGTCAACAGACAAGTACAGCTACTCATTTCTCTGGGCATGTATTATTTGAACAAATTATCATCTGTTGGATCAGCTAGTGGACAGAAATGCGTTTAAACATTTGATAAGTTAAAAGAAAAATGATTTTTAAAAAGTGCATCAACAACAGTATGAGTATTCGATTGGAGTTTTTGCTGCTGACCTGCTTGACGATGAGACGGGACAGGATGTTCATGACAAATCCTCCCAGTCGGGGATACATGGTGAGCGACTGGATGACGGTTCGCATGAGCAGCATGGGGAGAGGGCTCTGCTCCATCAGCTGCTGCATCACCACCGCCAACACCTCTGATGTGTAAACGTTCTTCTCCCCGAAGCACAGGTTGGTAGCTGTCGTACAGAAACACAGAAAATCTTAACGTCAGCAGTCACACACAAGCAATAGAGACTGGTTGATTAACTCCTGATGAACATCTGCACTGTATGGTTCAAATCTTGTAAACTCAAAGTAAACAAAGTTAAATCAATAAAGTTCTATCTAATCTAATTCTATCTAAACTTTGTGTTTTAGGGGTTTTGGCTTGAGGGCTTAATCACTGACCTTTTATGATAGACTTCATGTCACATTTAGTTGAGTCGATGTTGTGTAAGGCAATGAGCAGGTCTCCTGGGGTGAGGGGGGACACAGATGAACTGCCCTCACCTGCAAAAAGAACAAAAACACACATAACAGATGAAATACATCATCCTCAATTTTCCTTTAATATTCCACATAAACTCCCAACCAATCTTGCTAATTACAATTAAACTGCACAAGACAGGCGATAACAAAAACAAGAAAAAGGCAGAAAAGCAAATACTTGATGAAAAATGATATTAAATTACATTAGAAACAAAACATTCTGTTCATATTAAGCTAAAATAGAATGTGAACATCGTCTGTAGATGTGTTGACTCTTACTGTGCTGAGTTCCCAGGAGTCTGTTGAACACCTCCTTCACTACAATCGGGTTGAGTTTGATAAGCTTGGGGAGAGCCTGAATGACTTCGTTCTATATGAGGAAAAGCAATTATGAGTAAAATCCAGGAAAAGCTTCATTATGATGACCATGTGTGAGTACGATAGCTGGGATGCACTGATGCCATTTGCTGATTGACTAAGTACGATATTTAGAAGACTAGAATGTGTCCATTCAGTTTGTAACAAGATAAATGCGATATTACAATTATGTAACGTTATAATTTAAAATTTAAATGAGGGACGTTACCTTTTCCAGACCATTTATGACAGGGATCAGGAAACGAACATCTGGCACACGTTTGTGGTAAAGGTCTCGCACCCGCTCAACCAGCTCTGGAGACGGAGGCACTGAAAAGGGAAGGAAGACTTGTTTCACACAACACCTTTCATTTGATTTTCTTCTACTGTGCAGCAGAACTTGGTCATTTCTATGTGAATTTATTCAAAAGTTTCAGACAACAGTGGTGTTGACTGACCTAAACTGTACTGATTAGAGCCCGACCAACATCAGTCGACTGTATATATAGCTGTGATTGGCCTATCACCTATTGCTTACAACAGAAAGTCAGAGAGTACATGTAGCAGAGCAGTAGCACAGCTGATCAGACGGTGGTGCAGAGTCAAATGGTGTCTTCATGGTAACCGACTAATACAACACTGGAAAGTTAAAAACAATGACCCCATTGTTTACCAGTTTCAACTGAACTCGACTGAATTCTAACAAAGAATACCGTCTGATTTATAGATGTCAGAATTTTTTTAAATCCCTAAAATCGATATCTGCATTTTCCTCCGAAATCAGTCAGGCTCAAGTTGAGGTGAAAAGAGATTTGTTCTATTTCTACTTGCTTGTTACCTTTATCAGTCAAAATGTGCAGGCAGCGAGTAACCAGAGTCTCTGCTCCTTTAGGACAGTTTTCCACTAAAAGCAGCAGCTCCGGAGAGTTCATCCCCATTCCACGGATCTACAAAATGGGTGAAAAAAGTACCTGTCAGTAATATTCAAAAACAACACATCTCAAAAACAAACAGCGCTGCCTTATTTAAGTACATTTTTGGGTATTCTTAGTTTCTTCATTTGGAGAAACATTTCATTCAACCTTAAAGAGAAAGAATCTCCTAAATGCAGTTACTGCTCCATCAGTAACGACATGCTTTGACTCCAGGTGTGTTTTCTCAGTTTTATTTGTGCAAATAGTTGAGATTAATTTCAGTTTGTTGTTTATACTTTGGCAAAGGTACTTGGTGTCAACTGTGTGTAAAGATCCCGGTTTTATTCAAACATGTTTCGTAGTAATTGAACAATTGTTTTGTTTTTTCTGGTTGTTTTCTGGGTTGTTCATGTTCTTGAACACCAATGAACTCCCTGGACTGTACATTGAATGATTACGTTTAAAAGCAGCTTATTAAGAGAAACAAAAATAAAGCACTCCCCAAAAAGAACAAATGACAATAAGGAGTGACTTACAGGCTGCTCTATGGCTCGAAGCACGCTGCGCTTGATGTCAGCAATGGCCTCGGTGTAGACGGAAGCAAGCTCGTGGACCAGCCGGTGGTTCAGAGGAAGGAGGGACAGGTAGAGGAACAGACACTGTCTCACCGTCTCTTCAGTCCAGGGGGCAGCCACCTCTGTCCCAACAAACACACAAGTCAGTGGAGGTACAGGAGCAGACTTAAAACCAGGTGGTTAATAGAAGGGAAAATCTGTGATCGCTAAAGTTACTGTAAAGTGTTTTTCTGCTATTTGTTCCCAAAGGAAGTAATCTCACGTAAGTAAAATACTGTGTGACAAGTGAAGATAGCATCAAAATGAAGATAGCATCTAGAAATGAATCAGCCCCAGTTTACTCAACATCGCTACAAGGCCAGTAGTTAATTAATTAATGATGATCACAATTTGGCTTCTCAAAAAAAATAATGCACTGATCACAGAAAATTATGCTGATGGGAATCAGCTTAAATAGATAAAATAATTAGCTTTTAGCAAATGGATGCACAGTGACTTGTTTATGTGTATGCACTTAAAGAGCCACATATCGATTTGGTGGATATTATGCTTTAACATCCGCTTTAAGTCGAAGGTCATGTTTGACCAACAGCAGCACTACAGTCGATGAATTATGTAGGAGTAATTTGTATTATTGTGCACCTGAATGTATGTTAAAAGGTAAAATGCAAACCTGTGTCTTTGTCAGCCCCAAACAGCAGAGATGGCGGGTTGGGGTGAACCAGAAGCTGCATGTAGTTCAGGGCAAACTTCTCTATGTAGTCCCTGAGCTGGTCTTTCTCATACATCCGCTTCAGGAAAGCCAAGGCAGTGGTGCGCACCTGGAGAGAAGAGTATGTTAAACAAATGACATCCTCTGGTCTCCCCGATTGGTTCAGCGTGTGTGGATGTGAACATCACCTTCTCTTTCTCATGTGAGCTGAGATCCAGAAGCACATGCAGATACTGAAACTGCCTCGAGGGCCGTTTGACGATGAGCTCCTTCAGGGTCGTCATGCCCAAATAAACCCGAGACTGAAACAGAGGTTCATGGTTAGCAGACAGTCTGCAATTTGCAGTGCATGAGGAGCTGTGCTTTTATAACATTTACCTCGTCCTCACAGTACCGCCGTATGACTTCCAATGCTGATTCTGTTATAATGGGAGCCTCCAGTACCAGTTTGGTAAAAAGCCTGGAAGGGACAACATGAAAAGAACATGTATTCGCTTCTGTTTGACCCACATTTCACCATTTTCAGTCATTACAGGACATGTACAAGTCCTTATGTTTAAAGAACTAGGTAGAAAATGCAGCAAACATGAGGTAATGATAAGTATTTGTTCTCACCCATCCCTCTGCTCAGGTTTCTCCTGCAGGCCTGACAGCAGTGTGTAGAGACAGTGGTCGTAGCTGTCCAGCAGCCCTGATGGCAGCTGGCTGAGGTAGGTGTTGTACTCTTGGTAGAGCAGAGAAAATGCCAGGTCACTCCTTGTCCTGATGTCATCCAGAATAAACTCCAGCACGTCTTCTTTCATCATCCCTTCAAACTGTGTCACGAGTCTGGAGAGAAGCTTCACTCTGACCTGCCAGTGGATCAAACGTGGTTATCGTCGAAAAGAGACACTTCCGTTTCTTTTAGAGAGTGAGAAATGTAGAATGACATGGATTACTTACATGAGACATTCCACTTTGAGCAATCGCCTTCTCTGAATGCAGAATGCGCTTCACTGCTTTGGAGGTTAACTTCTCAATCTGAGTGTCTGATAAAGGCTGGACCACATCTGACAACCGAAACACTTTTTTTCTCCCACTAGCCCCTGTCATCCTGGGGAAAAATAAAAAATAAAAATCAGACAGCGTAATATGTGGCTTGCAGTCCTTTTCCTGCCTTTCTGCTGTCCTGGTGCTTCAAGACCTGATTGCTGCCTTTGATGAGGAGGCTCATCGTTTACTTTTATTATGTCTTGAACAGTGTGTAGGCATCAAAGGTGCTGTCCTCAGTCGGTTCTGGTCATATGTGACAAGATAGGAGCTTCTCAGTTCACTGAGGTGAATATTGTTCAACTACAGCTCCACTTGTGTCTGGAGTCCCTCAGAGCTTCCTTTTCACCGTTTTGCTCACCATATACAAGTCTATCTGCCACTAAAAATAAAAAGCAAAGACTCTTAATAACAATACAGATCATCATGTTTGGGACACCAGACTTTTGGATGACCCTGATGGCACTCTTCACCCTTTGCCTTCTGTAAAAAAAAAAAAAAGGAACTTTGATCTTTGACAGCTCATTTAAATTTAACAGATAAGTCTGCTTAGTGGTCAAAACTAGCTTTTTCAATTAAGAATTCCAGCCAAAGTAAAAACTTATCTCTGTTCAAAGACTTCAGGAAAGTTATTCATGTGTATATCACCATTATAATTCTCGGTATTTGGGTGTGGAGCATCTGCAGCTGTTAACAGGTTAGAGAAGGAATGATCACATAACGCCTGTACTGTCCTCTCTCCACGGACTTCTTGTTCATTTTTAACAGTGCAGCACTTTGGTTCGGCTGCTGTGTTTTAAATGTGCTTCATAAATAAATCCGACTTTTCCATCCTGTGTTATTGCACAAACTCACTTGGTTTGTGCAGAGGGAAGGATGGGCTCAGGAAGCCTCTTGACTGTAGCAGGAGCTTCTGCTGCTGCAGATTTTTCTGCGTAACCTCCCACCACAGAGATCGCTTGGCCCACCATCATGCCAGGAACTTTGCGCTTGATGAGAAAGTCTTTAGCGATCGACTCATCCTCATTGTCGTCGTCTTTGCCCAAGTCATCCTCTCTGGCTTTGCACTGCTCGAGTCCTACAATATAAAGTATGAAACGATATGTTTTAATTCAAGCTTGACCAATATACACACATTAACATGAATTATACATATCTGGCAAGATTCCTTCTAATTTGGTTAGTTAGTGTTGTGACATAGATATGTACTGAAGCAGGATGTTTTACGATTTTTCACAAAGAGAACAATTACTTTTTACCTGTAAATTAGTTCATTTTAAATGATAACTACATATACAACTGTAGGAAATAAAAAAAAAAAAAAATCAAGTCATGTTTAAAATTTATAAAGGAGTTGTGTATGCATGAAAGCTTCAACGTTTTTTTTTTGGCGTGTATGGTTGTTTCTAACCTGGACCAATTCCAGCAGCTGTCATCTGCGTGGCCATCAGCCTGGCTAAATGTTTAATTTGGGCATCGGTGCCTGCTGACTCAACAGGCGTGTATGTGGCCTGGAAAGATGCTGGCATGACATCAGGCAGATACACCATGCTAATGAGCACCTAAACAATGACAAAGAGATATGAGGTGAGTGAAGTAAAAGTACAAGGAAACAAACAGGAAACAAAACAAAAAAGACCACAGCTTCTCACCAGGTTGGCTACATTCTCAGGGCTAAGCAGTGGGCGCAGGAACTCAGCTGTGAGGTCGATTGCAGACTGCGTGACTGGAACAGCAGCTGGCTTAGGGACCGATGTAGGGGCTGGCTCCTCTTTGTCCTCGTCATCTTCAATCAGGGCCGGCTCTGAATGTAGGGGAACAAATGTCTTAAATACTACGCACTTATGATGAGCCTGCAGTTGTTTGGGGGATTAAAAATATGTCGACCACTATCCATTTCAAGATTAGATTACCTCCACTGCTTACATTTTTGATTCATTTAAAGACTTTGTTGATGACAATGATTTACACTGAGCGACCCTAAAAAAACAATATAAAAACTAATTATGCAGATAAACTGTAATCTTCAGAGAAGTAAATGCATAGCTGTACACATAAAGGGAGATTTATGCATAATGTATGTTCACCATTACACATTTCCCATTAACTTTCCACTTATTATGCCAATGCACCAACACTCTCATGACTTTGTATGTCAAAATCAGAATGCTTATATCTCTGATCACTACTCACCCATCTTGACCTTTTTCCCCTCTGTGTATTGTTCGTGGCGAGGCCTCTTGCGCTGCTCACGTGGTGCGGGTGTTGAGCGGGTTATTTCACTCTGGGGCATTCCCAGGTCCAGCAGCAATGTGCTGATTTGACCTTGGAACTCCAGGCTGCAGGGATGTTTAAGCACCGCCACAAGGTGCAGCTTCAGATTCTTACGCACACTGCTGACCTGAGACTTGGCCAGAGTAGGTGGTAGGTTTGCTAAAAAAAAAAATTAAAATATACAGAAAACATGCCATCATTTAACTAATTACTATGTACAGTCAGACTGTGATATTAAGTTGAGAGAGTTTCACTTTGACAAACACAGAAAACTTGTGTTTTGTGACAATATCAGAATGGCATACTACATGTTCTGTTAAGTAATAGATTTTTTAAAAGCTTTGCAGTTATATAAAACTCAAAGAAAAGCACTCACCATGCAGTGTCTCATATGCCTGCACCACCTCTGACATAAACATTGGTCTCTGGCGGGCAATAGTGGCCAGGGAACCCAGGGCTGTGGTGAGGTTGATGCTGGAAATAGCTGGGTGAACCATAAACTTCAACAGTTTCTCCAGTGCAGTCTTTCCCTCCTCACACAAAACATCTGTTAATTAGACAGCATAGAAGATATCCGCTTTAAAAAGTGAGCTTTTATGCTTTAATGCTCTAAGAAACACAAAGTCATCATTTCGTCACAACATAGTCGGAATATCCGTACCGTAGCGAATGTATGAATGATCTCTGGGAACTTTGTCCAGGCTGATGTCGCCTTCCTGACGTTTGGGGACGTCGGACTCAGATGTCCGCGGTGACAAAGTGATGATTAATGATTCTGTGAACTTGATGGCATGAGTGCGAACGCCGTCGTTCTCAGAGTCCAGCAAGGCCAAAACATCCCCTTTCATTTGCGTGACCAAATCCCAGCACGCCTCCTGCATCTCTGATACGGCTTTGGAGCGCACCAACCACTGTTGTGAAGGAGAAAGAAGAGCAAAGGACATGATGAGAAAACAAGCATCAGACGGAGCTGCTCAGTTTTCTTGTAGGTTCCCATGAAAAAAACAGCCACGTTACTGTATATACCTGTAGAGTGACTTTGTACAGCTGTGTAAGTGTGAGGATGGCTTTCTTCACCACATTCACACTTTCATCCTTCAGCAGCATGTTCAGGTTGGCAATCAGTCTGAGGAGAAGCTCGTTGTCCCTTTTACTGATCAAAGTATAAGACAGAAAAAGATTGAGAAAGTTTCAACAGCTCATTTGTTTCACAGCGTTTACAACTTCGAGACAGGCACATTTGGATGTCTAATAACTCACCATGCTTCTTCTATGAACCCAATGACAAACTTCCTCACTTCAATAGACTTGTCAGTCTGAAAGGCGATCATCTCCTGCAGGATGAAAAGATCAGTGGCAGGAGAATTAGGAAACCAAATTGAGTTTATCAGGTTGATATGGGAAGACAAACTACAATTAGCTGTGAATGCTGCATCCATTCATACTTACATCCAAAAAATTGTCAAGAAGAGATGGATCCTTGTTGATGATAAGCTCCTGGACCTGAAGATTACAAAAGAATTAATCAGTATGATTCTAATTCGACTGACTCCTTTATGAAGTCCTGGGTAAGTGGATACATGGATTAAAAATAAAGCACAATAAAACACAAATTAGTGAAGCAATAGTCGGAAGTTTAAGAATTACTGAATATTGTTTAATAAGGGAAAATATCCCAGAGGTATGAAGCTAAGCATTCATATTATTAGCTGTAAATGATCGAAACAAAGCTTTTTGGATCTCACAACAGTAAAAATTGGATTTAAAAAGTTTAGACAACAAACCTGTTTGAGCACAGCTAGCTTTTCATCTGTGGGTATCAAAGCGGCCTGATTTAGAAGCTCCACAACCTGAAAATGGAAGGTGCATTAAAACAAAAGTCTGACATTAGTAGGCCTGCATGATTGCTCAGGATGTGACACACGTACCTTCTCACTGGTAGTCATGTCGATGACACCGGGGGTCTGACTTTCCCCCTTCTCTGAAGAAAGCTCCATGATGCAGCTCTGAGTACCTCACTGTGCGGATAGCATGGCCTTTAGAAATCCTATAAACTCTGGGAGCCCTGTTAACACATAACCGCAGCACAGAAGGATGTTATTTATGTTGTAGCCTGCCGACATCCATCGCAATCAAGTTCAGATTTTGTTAGCAAGTGCTAGGATTAACTTTTGGGTAGCGTGCTACACGTTAGCGATATTACAAATAGATTCTATAAACAGCATTCTATTATATTTATTAATAATCATATACATTAGTAATAAACAACAAGGCTTTAATGAATTGCAATCAGCACCACTTTGATCTTAGCTAGTTAGCGCGGTAGTCCCATGCTAACTGTAGTGCTAACCCAGCTAGCTATTCTAACTTTATAATGACATACATGTAATAGCTACTCACAGTCAAAATGCTTATTTACTTCGTCGCTTCAACAGCAATTAACTACGACCAGTGTCACAAATTTACGAATGCAGCAGTTGTTTCCTTTTTAAATAAGTGCATTAACTGCGCTAGCCGACAAAGGAAGCGGCCATGTTTAATGATGCTTCTTCTTCTACGGATGCCTAA